AATAGAGTACATGTACACGTGTAATGGTAATATTGTTTTATCCATGTAGTATGCTGATGCTAAGGAACCAATGATAGTGACTAGAAAGGATTTTGTGGACTCATTAATATCAATATCACCAGCTTATACACAATCAGAGGTTAGAGAATTCACATTACCGTATAGCAGGTAATTTTCGTGGTGCTTTATTTTTGTAATTTTGTGGTTTTGGTGCTTCCACAAAATTTAAACCCATGAAATCATTGAAGTGCCATCCCCTTACAGGCTATGTAAACTGTCAACCACGAAAATTAAACCATAAATTGCCCCACTAGGAGCAAACCATGAAAATTTGAACCCACGAAAATAACCTGCTATACAGTATAATGTAATCTACACTACCGTAGGGCGCTTTTTTTTGAGAGCTATAGGTTTCGCTGATTTTATTTTGCGGATTTAATTTTCACAAATTTATGCCATCTTGTACCATATTAATTTGATTTTCGTGGGAGTAATTTTCACGAATTTTAAAGAAAATTGCAAAATCTGCAAAATTTACAGCCCTCGAAAAAAGGTGCCCTACGGTATCCTTTTCTTTTAAAAATTTTATTCTTCTTTTACTCTTCCTCTTCCTTCTCTTTATAGTCACATATTGTATCACAATATCTTCCTACTAACTATTTTTCATTGACTACTGATCATGAGTCCATCATCACTTCATTGTTGGAGCTCAGTTCATCAATACAGTCACAAACTGCTGCTCCATCAAAGATGATAACATCTCTGATATATGGCCCTAAAGGTAAGCTTATTTCAAGAATAACCAACTAGAGAAACTACTGTTATTACTGCTCCTTTGAAATTCGCTAAATAAATGTGGTAATTTTTCAGCATGTGATTCAAAAGTATTATTAATTTATAAAAATGAGTATACAACTACCATATAGCAGGTAATTTTAGAGGGAATAAATTTAGACGAATTGCTAAATTTTGGTGATTGTTAAGTTTTAATTTGACAAATTTGTGGCCGTGTGCCATGAGCTTGTGCATAATGGTACAAAATGGTGGGTTTTACTTTGGCGAATGGCTAACAAAATACTGAATTAGCTAGAATTTATCCCCTCTAAAATTACCTGCTATATGATTATAATGTGTACATTGATAGAAAATCTCTTATGCCCTCTGCAATAACTAAACTGAAGTTATGATTAACAAGTTATCACAACATTCTATGCAACAAGAGCCATCACTTTAACAATTGAGAGCATAACAATGTCACATACATGTCCCTTTCATAATCGTCACTTCTTATTTTCATTATTTTCTTATTTCATTATTCTAATTTTCGTTAGTACATGTATAATGAAATGTATTACAGGAACAGGGAAGACTACATTAGCAGCTAGAGTTGCTGTATTGGGCCACTTCACATACATCAAGGTACATGTATACAGCTTGTGTATTAATTAATGTGTATTATATTTTATGTTATAAAAGGTAGTAACAGCCTCCAACATGATTGGTTTGACAGATTTTGGAAAGATTGAGTACATCCATCAAGTTTTCAAAGATGCATTTAGGTATATTATAATAATTGCATTCTTTATATATAGCCTAATATTATAATATACTCTTGTAGTTCAAGTCATTCTCTTATTGTGCTTGATGATGTTCATCGTTTGGTTGAGTATGTGCAAGTTGGTGATCGTGTCTCAGTCTCTCATTCATTGATGCATGCGCTATCAACTCTTCTCTCTTATTCTATGTCATCAGGTTAGCAGAAATACATGTGTAGAGTATAATTGTATGTACATGTGTAGTGTATAATTATACATGTGCAACACTGTCATGAAATTGATGTATATTGAAAGTTTACTGAATACAGTGTTTGTTGTAATTACTGAATTGGTAGCAACTTTAATTGTATCTTGCTTCATGCAGTTTCAAACTTACAATGCTGTTCTTCATCATTAATGTTTCCTTAGGTTCTACAGTGATGGTGATTGGTACAATGACTGTCTCACATAGAGAATCGTTTGCACAACCAATCAACCTCAATTTCCCTACTCTATTTACGTGGCAGCATTACACTCCACTAATGAATGCAACTGATATTAATTCTTTCCTTAAAAGGAGCAATATTAACAGGTACATGCATGAAGGTTGTGTAATGCATACTTGGTAATACTTGAATTTTTTCACAAAAATGTATCAAGAATGTACTAATACAAGTAGTTCGTTTGCAAATTTATAATAAACAGCTTAGAGATAATGGATACAAAGCAGTAGAGGAAACTGAAACTACTGTATAGCTGGAAACTTTTAAAGCTAATAAATTTTGTCATTTTTGTCGTTTTGTTTGAGATTTGCAAAATTAAAATCCGTAGAATCTAAAAATATGGTGTAATAAGATGGCGGAATGCTTTGTAAAAATTAAATCCACGGAAATGATTTTTGGGCAGATTTGCAAAAGTTTAATCCCTTGAAAGTTTCTAGCTATATGGTTTGTGTAATTATGAACTTGATTCTACATTAAATGTTTTTGTTTATCTCTATATTGTCTCTGATAGGTTAAATGGTGGTCAGTTCTCTTTTCCTTCCCATCTCTCATTGTCCATTACTCAGTTAATGAATGCATTACAATGTGCCTGCATCAGTGAGGGAATGCTAATGGAGGAAGAGGTTGATAAGAAGACCTCATGCTATCTTAACAGGCTCTTCTCTCAGACTACACTCTTGGACTGTTTGAATAGCAGCAGTGCAAAGTTAGTCAATGCACTTAATAATGTACAAAATATATTTTTTTATTTTTAGAAATGAGGATCAGCCACTTCCTTCAATAAAATCCTTTCCATTATAACTCTCTATAGATTTTGTATCTATTTTTAAATTTCAGCCTGGCATGGATTGTATTTATCATTAGAAATGCTTCAATACTATGAATACTA